GCCACACACACTTCAAGACGGCTGATCTAAAAAAGCAGGAAGAGAGCATCTGAGGAGCAGCAGCCCCAGCGCATTTTGAGAAACATTTGTTAACATTTCAGAGTGCGGCAGCCTGTTTCTCCTCTGAAGTTGGCTCCAGCCTTAGCAGCCGCATTGGATCCCACAGCCTATTGCGAGACTCCGGTATACAATCCGGATCTCTGCCCCAACATGATCGCGGCCCAGGCCAAGCTGGTGTATCATCTGAATAAATACTACAACGAGAAATGCCAAGCCAGGAAAGCTGCCATCGCCAAAACGATCCGAGAAGTCTGCAAAGTGGTGTCGGACGTGCTGAAGGAGGTGGAGGTGCAGGAGCCTCGCTTCATCAGTTCTTTGAACGAGATGGACAATCGCTACGAGGGGTTGGAAGTCATCTCCCCCACGGAGTTTGAAGTCGTGCTGTATCTGAACCAAATGGGGGTTTTCAACTTCGTGGACGACGGCTCCTTGCCGGGCTGCGCGGTGTTAAAGTTAAGCGACGGGCGCAAGAGGAGTATGTCCCTCTGGGTGGAGTTCATCACGGCGTCTGGCTACCTCTCCGCTCGCAAAATCCGGTCCAGATTTCAGACTCTGGTGGCTCAAGCCGTGGATAAGTGCAGTTACAGAGACGTGGTAAAGATGGTGGCGGACACCAGCGAAGTGAAGCTGAGAATCAGGGATAGGTACGTCGTGCAGATCACTCCGGCGTTCAAATGCACGGGGATCTGGCCGCGGAGTGCTGCTCACTGGCCGCTTCCTCACATCCCCTGGCCGGGACCCAACAGGGTGGCGGAGGTCAAGGCGGAAGGCTTCAACCTCTTATCCAAGGAGTGCCACTCTCTGGCCGGCAAGCAGAGCTCGGCCGAGAGCGATGCCTGGGTGCTGCAGTTCGCGGAAGCCGAGAACAGACTGCAGATGGGCGGCTGCAGGAAGAAATGCCTCTCTATCCTCAAAACCTTACGGGACCGTCACCTGGAGCTGCCGGGCCAGCCCCTGAATAATTATCACATGAAGACTCTGGTTTCCTACGAATGCGAAAAGCATCCCCGCGAATCGGACTGGGACGAGTCGTGCCTGGGGGACCGGCTCAACGGGATTTTACTGCAGCTCATCTCCTGCCTCCAGTGCAGGAGGTGCCCGCATTACTTCTTGCCCAACTTAGACCTCTTTCAGGGCAAACCTCACTCGGCCCTGGAAAACGCGGCCAAACAAACGTGGCGACTGGCTAGGGAAATACTTACCAACCCGAAAAGTTTGGAGAAACTTTAGAGGGTAACTATAAAACCGGCCCGACCGATAAATACGCTTATTTCCCGATGAAGTTTAAGCTGCCTGTTCGAAAAGTCAAATATTTCCACTTGGCAATGCAAATAATATTCTCTTTTAAAAAGGAATATAGCTTAGGCTCTTCACAAAGAAAAGCAAATAAGAACAGCAAGTATCGTTCCTCTTATCTTCGTCACAGTTTTGCAGTTCTCCGTGGAAAAAAAAAGAAGGAAAAAAAAAAAGAGAAAGTATGTTACCCGGAAAGCAAAATTGGCCGTAATTTAACATGATTGTGACCATTCTGCCTAGAAACGGTACCAACGGATTATAACAAAACCCCGGTATTTTTATGTAAACCCTCTGTGAGTAAAAGCTATTTGGATATGCCACCTGAACAAACCCTAATGTACCTTTTAATTTGTATCAAATATTGTGATCTCACATTGTCTTTGAAATTGTGGATGTTGGTGTTTTGAGATTTGGTGAACGGAAGTTAAATTGCCATTTTGGATACTTCAAGGACATTTTCTGCTAAAGAGAAGATACCATTTAAAAAGGTAGATTTTATCATGGTACTTTTGTTAATTGTCTTTTGAAGTGTCTGAACTTAACAAGTTTACATTTTTCGTTTCATATATATTGCTTGTTCTATTTCTAACATTCCATAAATATACTTGAAATGTTATTTAAATATATTCAAAAGAAATTTGGATTCTGCTTATATAATAACGCTTGAATATTGGAATTATATATTTGAAAATGCACTTGAAATACACTGGATAATTACCTTTTGTGATTTAGATTTTAATTTCTGTTGCTGATTTATTTAATTACAAGCTAATAAATGAAGTAAAATGCATATGGGTAAGTGTTTCAATACCGGATCAAGTTTTCTACTTGAAAAACCAGAGACAGCTATGTTTTGTGAATTTTGCCTTTCTGTTGATAGCTGCTTAAATCCTGTAAAGCAGAAAACTTAAGGGCAGCCGCCTGATTTTGCATTTTTAATAGTTTTGTAGAACAGGGAAATATTGGTGGTACAAACACATTAGAATTTAGCTCCAGATGACCATCAGCAACTGTCAGATACCGATGTAGCTATTAATGCAGTAACACTTTTTCAGCTGTCAGAGAAGAAATCTATTTTCGAAAGGTTTACTATAGGGCGCTGATGTGTTTCTGCTCGGTTTTGAACAACGCTGAGGAAACACAACATATCCCTGAAGCAGTCAATGTACTGAGCAGCAGTGAGCCTGATAAAACTAGCATTTTGGCGCAAGCAGTAATAAAGAAGAAAATAAAATTTATAGGTGAAAGGTTCAAGCCGGCACCAATAAAGTGAACAGCAATATTACTTCTGACCTACGAATCCGTAATGAATGTGATAAGATCGCCAGTTGCACTCCCAGAAATCAAGCCCCTGCGCTCCCAGGGCATTCAGAGGGAATAACATGTGCGTGCGATCCAAAATTCCCTATCCGTACTGCAACGCCTGGTCCTTCTCAGTATGCATTTCTTTAAAGCGTCTTTAAAAGCAAAACGCAAAATAACAACGCGGATTTTGGTTAGTACCCTAACAGTCAACAAGTGCTGAAAGAAGCCGATCGCCTGTGTAACACCCACTAGCAACTATTTCCAGTGGGCGCACTTAAAGGAAACCGTTATACTCAGCGATTGTGACAGAATCTCTTTTTTTTCCCAGCACTGCGAAGAAAGTTCCGAGTTTGAGAAATTATCCGCCAAAGAGAAATCACCTTATTACAAACATATTCAGACGAGGTCGCTAGCATTTTCCTTGGAAATTATTTATGATATTTCTGCAGAAAAAAAAACCCACCAAGGTCTTTGTAAAAGTACCTCCCCTATTTTATCTCTTCTAACATTTTCCAGCGCAGTAAGAAAGAAATAAAGCAACAGCGGTAAGAAT